CTTTATCTAAAAGAGAGCTCCTCTTCACTCCACAATCAGTTGAATAGGTTGGTCTTGCTTCGACTAATGCAATATGTCTCTGATGTTCTTCACGACATCTGAGTTCGCCCATGGCAGTCGCAATCCTACGAACTAATAGCTAGGATACAATTGCCTAGGGAGTGGTGGGAGGCCTATTACCTCCCCGATACGAATAAGTTCGCACCGGCATGGATTGGGACGGCAAGAATAGCTCTGCGCAATGCGATGAGTGAGATAGATTGTGCGATCGTGGCAGACAAAACCCATCTCCCAAAAATTCCAGGTACACTAACGAGTAATAAGGCCCTGCCGAAATGTGTGTTCACTGGATACAGCCACTGCAGTAAGAAAGGGTGCCGACGGCGCTATCAATTTACCATTCCTCGGCTCACCACCCCAGTCGAACAGCAGGACCAGCTCTAGGTGGACGTGTATGGTATGTACTGAAATGCAATACAATTTAATTCGGGTGCACGTATCTGCTTTTTAACTTTCAATAGCGAGTTTTCCATCAAGTACCTCTTTAGCTCCTGCGAGGTATGCAACCCTAGGGGCGCCGAGGCCGTATGGGATGCCTACCTTGCAGGCGCCCCGGTGAACTGTTTCCCGACGATGCTGTTTTTTTTTCTCAGCCCATGGAGAGGTGAACCACTGCCAGGCTACTGACGAAGCGACACTTCACTATACGCCCTTCACTACTTTCACCGTGTCGCAAGAGTGGTGGGATCAACTTCACGCGAAGGGGCGCCGCAGACTGAAACCCGGCTGGATAGATGAGATCACCCGTCGGTTTAAGGAGGAGAAGCCGGAAGGAATCTACTGCTCACTCTCTGTGCGCGACCAGAAGGCATCTCTTTTCTCCACAAACACCACAAAACGTGCCGCACCGCGAAAGACCCCTCGCTTTTATGCCTACTTGTATTGTGCTGGCCAAAGCTGCACAATGGAGTACAAGTTCACCATTCAGGAGCTGAATATGGATGGGGCACACACCGTCCACGTAACAGGTAAGTCTGATTGCCTTGCTTCTGCTGATTATGTTGCACAAATGACCGTTTGTAATTGGACCTAACGCATACTTTTCCCTCCATAGCTGCTGGGCAACAAAGCCATACGGCTAAAGCCCCAGTACGCGAACCCATGCGTCAGGGGCTGAGGCAGGAGTGCGAGGAGAGGCTGAGGAGCGGCATGTTGCCAGCCACGGTGAGGACTGCGCTGAAGGTGGCTCGCCTGTCCACACTAAATGTCTATGTACATTTTTGTGCAAAATTATGTACAAATTTGTACACAGCTCATGTACAGATCTACGCGTACTGAACTATGCACAAATTTGTCAATTTTACCAGCACAAACTATTACGCGTACCTCTGTACAAATTTATTCATAATAAGTGCATAAAATATGTGATCCATGGACAAAATTATGGGCTCTATGTGCATAGCTAATGTACAAATTTAAGAATTGCTCATGTACAAATTTGTTCATAAGTATGCACAAAATAACATTTGTCTGAGAGTTATTAACTGACAATTTGTACATAAGTAATGCACAATTTACAACAGAACTCATGTACAATATTGCACATAAAATTTTAACATGAAGATGGTTCGGTCAAATACATAATGCATAATGGGCGTTGCTACGTCGTGGTGCACACTGTTATTGTCAATTGGTATCGCACCAACTTTGTCACACACAGTGACAACAACTAAAACAGTCATCTTACAATCATCTTACAATTAAAAATTGTAGGAACACTAGATTGTTGTTTAGGGTTAAATTTACATAACCCACAACTTAAGAAGGTAATTATAGAGGTTATGACTCACCCAAAACAGCAGGTCAGCTTCAAGACAATCAAATTGATCAAATTTCTTTCCCCCTCCCCCTCCAGTCAAAAACACTGATCACTCCCAAAAAAATCCTTGAAGTAAAACACATTTCACTGCACACACAGGAGAGGGGAGGTAAAAGTGCAAATCTTCGACTGATGATCCAAACCAAGGTCCAAGTTACGTCAATACTCCGTGTTTGAGACGTCCAAAAAGACCCACCAAGACAGACTGCTGGTCCAGATGTCTGTGCACGATAAGTGTTGATGTTTCCTTAGATTCACTAAGTCGAGGTTAGGCCTCCTTAAGGTGCGGTATGCTGCAGACGTTTGGGCGAACAAGGCTCACTGACATTAATGCGATAACGAAAAGAAGATGAAGGTGATCTGATCTGTACGGATTCGACGCCATGACACTGCCGCCCCTTGCCACCTCCTGTTTCAAACTGCGGCCGCTAGATGGCATTCGCGCCACACGAGTTGTTCCAGCTTGGCGCTAGTGGCGCTCAAATTCAAACTCCACACGGACAAGGCTAAAACTGAGCACCCTTATTCTAGGCTAGTGACAGTGTGAAATATTCTTTTAAAATGATTACTTTAAGGAAACCACTTTAATAAGGGTTGGTGATAATATATTAAAACACTTTGTATTTAAGAAAGTTTAATGAACTCCAAT